ATTACTTTTCTTTTGTTTCCTTGTTTAAGTTTGTTTTCTCCACTGGATTCTAAGTTCCATGAAGACTAAGACCATCTCTCTCTTTCAGTGGGTTATCCCTAGCTGACCATAGCATGTAATCAATGCTCAGCAGAAACTTGTTGCTGTCAATTATTCATAATTATAATAGTCCTAGTATTACCAACCACTAAAGTCTTATGGTGTAACGCTTCAAATTTCTAGAATTGTTGGAGGATTAAATTAGTACATGATACTCTGTATAATAATGTATTTGGCTCTTTTAAAAGGTTTTTGTAAAGTCTCAGGATTTTTACAACAAACAGTAATTAAGATGAAAATTAGCAAAGAATTGAATGAATCATTGGAATTCATAACTTGGTAAAATAATAATTTATTAGTGCAGATGATATTATCTACAGCATATCTTAATCAAAAGTTACACCAAAAGAGGCAACATTTGCATATTCCAAGTGGGTTTTTTTTTTTTTTTTTAAGGATTTACAGTTACAGGGATAGATGTCCGTACTTCTTTTGACAAATTTTTATTTTATCTCTTTTTGGGGAAGGTTGGTCTGGGGAACATAGACCATATGAAATTCTATGCTGCATGTCAAGAAAATAGCTAAGATAAAATGAGGACTAGGAATTTAGGCCCAGAAGTTTTCATTTCTCCCTGACTATGGGCAAGTCCTTTATGGCGTTCGTTTTCTCCTTCTTTCTCCTCTGATCCTCCCTCTCTTGCTCCTTCCCTTCCTCAAGTTGTCACACCTCCTTGTCTTCTTAAATCTGTAACTATTTCTCAGTCTTTCATGACCTTGACACTTTTGAAGAGTACTTGTCAGATATTTTGTAATAGCAAAAACCGCAATTACTTTTGCACCAACCTAATAGAATGTCTCTCGGTGTGAGTTTATCTGATGTTTTCTTACAAAAAGACTGAGGTTATGAATTTTGAAGGAGAATATCACAAAGGAGATATGCCCTTCTTGTCACATCGTATTGGAGTACATACTTCCATGACTCATTGCTGGGGATGTTTAACCTTGATCACTTGGTTAAGGCGATGTTTGCCAAGTTTCTCTACTATCAAGTTTTTCTTTTCTTTCTATATTTTATTAGTTATACATGTGTGACTTTTTTTTTTAAACCTGAGGGTTTAAGCATTGTTTTATTTAGTTTCCAAATTTATCAGATTTATGGAATCTGTCCTTTTGTCAAAATTCCTAATTTTATTGTATAATTATAGAGTACATAGTTTGTATTCTATTGATTTTCAGGAATTCATTAATGCTTCTTTGTGAACGAATTTATAATCTATTTTAATAAATGCTTCAAGCATGCTTGAAAATACTCTGTTTTTCCCCATGACTTAACTTCTACATCAATGAAACAGGAAGAACCAAAACATGCAATTCCTTTGATTTATTTTTTGAAGGCTGCAAAACCAAAGACCAATCGAAAGAGAAAAATACTGCATTTGTTCTTTTTGACTCTTTCTTTTGCAAACTCACATAGGGATATCTTGACACAAGTAAACATACTAGGGGAGAGAGAAAAATGAAAATATCTGTCCTTCCTGAAGATGGATTTGTTACCACTGGGTAACAGGTGCTTAATCCTCCGTGGGGGCACAATTCCAGACTACAGAGAGGGACTGGCCAGAGCGGAGGAGTAACCACCTGTGATAATGATTCTGATCTGTGTTCCATTCCTTAGAAGCCCTCTGGCCTTAGCTAATCCACCTAAGTAAAGCTGGGTGTTTGGTGTGCTGCCACAAAGTATTGCTGTATGCTGAGGTGGGGTGCTGATGGCAGTGGGCTAGTCGTTCAGCCTAGTTGCTTAAGACACAGCATGGATACTCATCTGTATTTGCCATGGGAAGAGGAATTTGATGGTTAAAGGCTTCATGCTGCAGATTTAAGTCAGATCTTTAATGGCCACCCTCTCAGGTTGTTTACTATAGGACGCCATGCCCCTTGGCTGCTGCCCTGATGCTCTCCTGCTGTCTCTTGCTGCTTCTCTTCTGTGAACCCTCATGGATCCTACTGTTGGCTCCCCACCTCCTCCTGGGTATCATCATCAAGGCTCACCTTCTAGCTCCTAGGAGATCTCAAGTCTTTCCAAATATGATGAGTCATCAAGAAATATGGAACTTTATATGGGCGTTTATTGCGCTATTTGTTTCAACTTTCCTATATGTTTGAAATTTATCAAAGTTTACAGTTAGAAAAAATCCACTTGCTTTTCCTCTCTAAAAAAGTTAGCATGGGTGAACTATCCCTTACCCAAAATGCTTGGGACGAGAAGTGTTTTGGAGTTTGGATTTTTTTGGATTTTGGAATATTTGCATATACATAATGACGTAACTTGGGGACAGGACCCAAGTTTAAGCACAAAACTTAAGTTTCATATATACTTTATACACATAGCCTGAAAGTAATTTTATACAATTTTTTAAATAATTTTGCATATGAAACAAAGGTTTGTGTTTTGACTGACCCATCACATAAGGTCAGGTGTAGAATTTCACTCAAAAAGTTTCAGGTTTTGGAGCATTTCTTTCTTTCTTCCTTTCCTTTTTCCCTTCCCTTCCCTTCCCTTCCCTTCCCTTCCCTTCCCTTCCCTTCCCTTCCCTTCCCTTCCCTTCCCTTCCCTTCCCTCCCCTCCCCTCCCCTCCCCTCCCCTCCCCTTCCCTCCCTTCCCTTCCCTTCCCTTCCCTTCTTTTTTTTCTGAGACAGGGTCTCTGTTTGTTAGCCAGGCAGTGCAGTGGCACAAATGCGACCCTGCCACCTTCCACCTCCCGGGTTCATTGATTCTCCTCAGCCTGGGTTCAATTGATTCTCCACCTCAGCCTCCTGAGAAACTGGGACTACAGATGTGCACAACCATGCCTGGCTAATTTTTTGTATTTTTTGTAGAGATGGGATCTCACTATGTTGCCCAGATTGGCCCTGAACTCCTGGGCTCAAATGATCTGCCTGCCTTGGCTTCCCAAAATGTTCAGATTACAGGTGTGAGCCACCACTCCCAGCCAGGTTTTGGAGCATTCTGGATTTCAAATTTTTGGATTAGGGATATTCAACCTATAAACCTCAACGCTTGGCAGTGTTGCAAGTGGTCTGCACTTTATCTGGACGAAGACAAAGAATGGTGCTAACACTTGTCTATGTACAGATGGGAAATCTTGCTGAGGAAAGGACAATGATTCTTGAGAAAAAGGGGAAAAGGGAGAGAGGTAGGAGGTGGCAACAGGATGATTTGCAAGTAATATTTGGCTATCATTAGAACAATAAACTCTTCACTATACAGGATTGTATGGTGTATTGGAACGAGCATGAAATCAGAGAAACTTCATTAGAATTCAAGTTTTGCTCTATATTAGCTGTGAGATTTTGGCTAAGACAATTGACCATTCTGATTCCACAGTCTTTATACATGCAAAATGCTAATACAGTTATAACAATGGAGATACATTGTGAGAAATGTGTCATTGTGCAAACAAAATAGGGTGTACTTAAGCAAACCTAGATGGTATAGCCTACTACATACTTAGGCCATATAGCATAGCCTATTGCTCTGACCACTATCATATATGCAGTCTATCATTGACCCAAATATTGTTATGCAATGCATGACTGTAATAATAATACTTGCCACATAGGTAAAAATACTGTCATTAATGGTGTAGTAAAATGGTAACTGGCATAGTAACACTGTAAAGTAGATACAATTTTTAGAAGGTTTTGAGGAGGGAGTTTCAGAACTGTTCTCCATTGATTTGCTTACAAAGATATTTTCATTTCCCACCAAAGGTTTTGGCTATGAAAACCTTTGCAGAAACAATATTTCAGGAGTTTTTCCCCCTGTATTGTCAACTAATTTTTAGTAAGCATATGACTTTCTGTATGTATCATCCAATTGATTTAAAAATGAATCAATGAATGTATTTATTGATCGACTGCCTCACTTCACAAAGGAATGTGAGGAAGGACACCCAACTTGGCATTTCTGTGTTTCTATTTGGGTCATGCATTTTTTCTTGCTTTCCAAATTGAAAATGTGGTGGATGCAGTAGATAGGCCTTTAGTATCAGCCCTTCCCTCGTTTACTATACCTTTTTGTGTTTCTCAAGCTGGAAAGCTATAAACTACATGCTCTAGACATCCTTGCTGCTAATATTCTGCATGTGAAATTGATCTCACCAATTGCACGCAGCAGAGCAATATTTGCAGGTGCTGTTTTCATGCTACTGGCAAATGCAGCCGTGGAGACCACGGCTTTTTGCAGCAGTGTTCCAGTGTCCTGTTAATTGTTCTGTCGGTGTTGAGAGGTTGGGGACGAGGTATGGCAACTTCCTGATGCCATCTTCCTGATTGTGGGCAGGAGCTAGTATGGCAATCTTATCTTTGTAGTCATTCATGGATGTTCAGCCCTTCTCCAGTCTTTCCAATCATTTCAAATGTCCCGAATTCCCCCTGACAAATCCCTTTCTGACTAGGAGTAGCTAGCTGAGTGCTGTAATGAAATCCTGACTGACAGATTTGTAAACTTTTTGCGGACAGGAACCCTTGATATAAATAAATACCTTGCATTTTAATGGAGGGAAGCAGAGGGATAAACAAATGAATAAGTAAAAAGTTTTAATAAGATGGTGATACGTAAAAAATAAAGCTGGTTAAGGGAATGGGGAGTGCAGGAGATGAGCGCAGCTGTGTTGCCGTTTTAATCAGGTCAGAGAAGGCGTCTCTACCAGGGTGACTTTTGACCTGCCTCTCTGTTATGTCAATTGTGTGTAAGGCCCTGGTGTAGTTACTGTGTTAAAATGCAATGATTCAATTACTCCATTACTTAGATACCCTCTAAGTGACGCTACTGTTGTCCACCTCCCCGTGATTGAATTGTTTACCCACAGTAAACATGGCGGGAAGAGCTTCGATCCGACCCTTGAACACTCAATAAAAATGGCGACAGCACTTCCTGTGCTTGCCCTCAACAAAGATGGTGTCAACACTTCCTGTTTAGGGTTTTCGCCTTTAACAAAGATGGTGCTTATGGGGCAGGTTCCCTAACAGTCAGGATTCCGGTTGCAGTTTTTCTCCCCCGCCCCAAAGATACGTGGTTGCAGACGTAAGTAACAGGAATCCATTTTTTCTTGAAAGTCCTGCATTGTAGCGTCTGCGACCTGGGCCCTGCGGGGGCTTCCCCGCCCCACTAACTTGCTCTGCATTTCCGATCCGGGCCAAGGCTGGGTGGCTGCGGTAGTGCCGGAGGCCCGCTCTCCCCTTGGTCCGCTCTTAAGTTCATTCCCAGCACTCCCTCTTTAGCGGGTCAAATTGCGGGAGAAACCGCCCGTAGTCTTCCTGTTTGATACAAGGATTTCAGCGGCCGAGGCAGAGACTTTTTAAAAAGTTCCCAATGGGCGCTCACAGCCAAATGTGAACACCTCCCCCTCCTCACCTGTCACCTCCTAAACTTTGCAGGGTTGCAAGGGGGAGTGTGGGATCGGGTGTTGCCCAGCCGTGGTCTTACTGCCCGGGTGTATCTGAAGCCGCATCTGTCATCCCTACCTGCCTTCCCGGTCACTTGACCTTCACTGCCTTACACACAACCAAGCCACAGCACACGGTTGCAGGGGTGGTGGAACTGCACCTTCAAATTGTGCCTGGCTACTGACCGGCGCTGGGTTGTTTTTTAAAGAAAAAAAATCCCATAAAATGTCCCATGCATGTGTGGCCACGACAGTGTTGTGCTGGAGATTCGGAATTCTTAGTGGGAAGGAATGGAGTCTGTGACTGTATATTGTGTAAGGTTTATTGTAGACTGGGCACAAACAACAATTTTCTTAAAGGTGATGGTGTAGAGGAATTTTAGCGAAAAGAGCCTTAAACTCTGTTCCTGCTGATTTCTGTCCTGCACTCCTGTTACTGATCAGGTTTTGCAAATACTTGTGATCAAAAAAAGGACACCTGCGCCCACTTTGGCAGTTTCTGCCGTGGTGGTGGTGGTGCAGGTCTGATGAGGGCAATGTTAAAATAAAACCACGATTTCTTCTCCAGCATGTTAAAATTAATGCTGCTCTGTAATCTTCAGATAAAAATTGCTTTTTCGGAAGGGTCTCTGACCCACTTTTTTTTTTTTTCTTTTTCCAAATTTCTTTATTGAACGAGGAATTGAGCTGGGACCCCACTGTGTGAAAAGCAGGAACAGAAAAGATGATTCATCTTCAGTGTTGTTCATTATGTTAGGAAACATTCAAAGTTAACTTGGCTTGGCTTAACTCGTGAATTAAATACCATGACCTGGCACTCTGCCACGGTTTGAAGATATGCCTGACCTGAAGGAACTTACATTGCAGTGACACTGTCTTTCGGGCCACATCAGCATGTCTGTAATTTGAGCTGTGATTTCGGCTCTTTCCAGGGAGAAATGGAGACCAGAGACAAGCAAGTACTCCGCTCACTTCGCCTGGAGCTGGGTGCAGAGGTATTGGTGGAGGGACTGGTTCTTCAGTACCTCTACCAGGAAGGAATCTTGACGGAAAACCATGTTCAAGAAATCAATGCTCAAACCACAGGCCTCCGGAAAACAATGCTCCTGCTGGATATCCTACCTTCCAGGGGCCCTAAAGCATTCGATACATTCCTAGATTCCCTACAGGAGTTTCCCTGGGTCAGGGAGAAGCTGAAGAAGGCAAGGAAAGAGGCCATGACCGACCTACCTGCAGGTAGGCCTCAGAAAGATCACTTCAAACCAGCTCCAAAATGTTGTAATTATGCCCTTTGCTTTTTGGTTTATTTGTTTGTTTGTTTTTGAAACAGAGTCTCGCTCTGTCACCCAGGCTATAGTGCAGTGATCTCGCTAGGCGTGATCTCGGCTCACTGCAACCCCTGCTTCCTGGGTTCAAGCAATTCACTTGCCTTCGCCTCCCGAGTTGCTGGGAATACACACTTGCGCCACCACGCCCTGCTAATTTTTGTATTTTTAGTAGAGATGAGGTTTCACCATGTTGGCCAGGCTGGTCTCGAACTCCTTACCTCAGGTGATCCACCCACCTCAGCCTCCCAAAGTGCTGGGATTACAGGCGTGAGCCACCACACCTAGCCAGAACTCTGCCCTTTGGATTTGAAGTTGAGATGTAAGGCAGGACAAGGGTCAACGGTTGATGAAAGTGGGTAAGGAGTTGGGACTGAAGGGACATGACATTAGAGGCATAGGATCAGGAGGTAGCATTAGGAAGTGCAGGGAAGGAAGAATGAACCGTGACTGGGAGGTGAGGGAGGGAGCTCAGAGAATGCATTTAGAAATGCTTCCAGGGAAACCTGGCATGTCCCTTGGGAAGCATGTTCTCATCAGAGAGTCAGGTCATATCTCAGCCGTTGGCATCAGGAACCATTTGGAAAGTGCAGATGGGAAAGCAGGCATTCGGCCTACTGACAAGTGATTTGTGAGGTGCCAGAGCTACCAGCTGGAAAAGGTCAGATTCATGGAGGAGGAGACAGCCTCTAGGAAGGAATGCCCTGTACCTGTCCCCTGGGCTGTCCTGTGTGGCCAAAGGGGATTATTTTGAAGGCTGACTTAGTTTGTTTTTAAAGGTTATTTGTTGAAAGTGTCCTTTTCAGTTTAGCTTTTGTTCAGACACCGGAGTAATTAATTTTGCAAAGAGCAGTAGTTTGGGGAGGGTCTCAGTTTAATTTGAAGGAGAATTGGAAGCTGGAGAAGAGAGAAACAGTTCTGGGTCCGTTAGCCTGGCTTGCAGCAGGAAGAAGATGTGACATGGAAACACTTGCTTCTTCTTAACCTCCCTTGACTCTGTTTTACAAAGATGGAGGGGCAGAGAACTGAACTGGGAAAAATTAAAAATTGAAAAAAAAAGTAATTGAAAGTTGACTTGCAAATTTTGAACAAAGTTAGAGAATCAAGGTTCTCTGGGGTTTGTGATAACAGTGATAGAACTATTCTGGTTTAGTGGGCCCCAGGCTTCGTGGTTGCTATATTTTAAATACTGATTTAAAAAAAATGAATACTGATAATAAGACCACTTTTACTATTTTTGCTCCATGGACCTCGTATTTTGACATATGTCTGAATACCTGATCAGCATGAGATAGCCAGCTAACTTTAGGAAGACCTGGTAAGATCCCAGTGGAAAAAGCCAAAGTATTTTCATTCCTAGCCTGGGCTCATTACAGGTAAATGTATCTTTAGGCTTTTTGAAATATTAGAAATAGCTGGCTTTTGAGGACCACTGGAATTCACTGCTTGGATTGTCCTTACAAAATTAAATACTCCACATGTCTGAACAAAATGTGTCTAAGATGTTTTTATGACTTTATTGAAAGCAGAATAGATAACATAGAGTTGGAGAAATGTTAAAAATTATGGTGCTTTCCTGATATTTGACTTAAGAGGTTTCTGCTGGCATCATATAGTTGGAAACAACAAAACAGGTGAACTGAAAGCCTTTCACTATCAAAATACTGAATTTAATTTTATGGTCATTTTGGGTGATACAAATCATGCTGTTGTATGTCATTCATAGAGGCATAATAACATTTTTTTTTTGAAATGGAGTTTCACTCTTGTTGCCCAGGCTGCAGTGCAACGGTGCAATCTCGGCTGACTGCAATCTCCTTCTCCTGGGTTTAAGCAATTCTTCTGCCTCAGCGTCCCGAGTAGCTGGGATTACAGGCATGCGCCAATGCCTGGCTAATTTTGTATTTTTAGTAGAGATGGGGTTTCTCTGTGTTGGTCTGGCTGGTCTCAAACTCCCGACCTTAGGTGATCTGCCCACCTCGGCCTCCCAAAGTGCTGGGATTACAGGTGTGAACCACCATGCTCGGCCATAACCCCATTTTTATTTATTTGGATTCATTCAGCGAGTTAGAAAGAATTAACGCTTTTTTTTTACAAAATGATGAAAGTTACAGAGAAGCTAAGGAAAAATAGCTTTTTAAAAAAGCAAACAGAATGAAGCAGTACATAATGGGAGAAACTTGAGCGTATCTGTGTAGAAGTTTAGAAAAATAAGGTTTTTCTCAAGATTTGTTAATTCTGTAGAAGGTTGGCTCTGGAACAAATTTGTACAGTCATAATTGTTTTAGTTTTTATTGAGTAACACTGCTATTGAAAAAAACATTCTGAAGTGAGGATTTGATTTATATATGTCTTTCAATATCTTCCACAGTGACAAGCATATAAACTCTTTTAAAAAAGACTTGTATTTATTAAATACTGACTATTTTAAATAATATTACAAAATACAAGTAAGATATGGAGAATAATGGTACAGCGAACACCCATCTCCCCATCACTCAGTTTAAGAAAAATAATATTACGATTGCCTTTAAGAACCCACTCCTTCCCAATTTTGTCTCATTCCCAACCCCCACTCAGTGAAAAGCCCTGAATTGGGGGTTTATCATTCATTCACTTCTTCACTGTACAGTTTTCTATCTCCTAAAAATCACTTTTAAAATCTTCATATGTGTTTGAAAATCCTGTATACCATAAGTTCTAGAGGGGTGTGTGTGTGTGTGTATGTATGTATATATATATGTAAAGATATATATAAAGGAAAGGGTGGAAGCAATGGAAGAAATGATGCATTTAAACTTGATAGTTAACACCTTCTCTTGTTTCAGACCTTAAAATATTTTTTAAATGTTTAAAGTAATTTAATTGGTGGCAGTATTTTAATTCTAAAATTAAATTGGGATTTACTGAATTGGAAACCTAGGTTTTGTTCTTTTGTAAATCCTGGGAAGAGTATCGGAGTTGAAATTCCTTCAATTTAACATCCCTATAAAAAAGAAATCCAGAACCTACTGCCTAAGACCCCGGTACTTCTCCCCGGTGTTGTAATAGAGTAATTTTAATAAGATTTAAAATAGTCCACTTAAATTTTTGTAAAGGTATCTTTGAGTTTTGAGGAACTAGACTACAGGAGAATGTGTGTACTCATTAACCTCTTAATGTATGTACACATTAAACTCTTCTTACCTTTTCCTCATTTTGATCATACTTATTAATTAATTTGTAAGGCTTCAGTAGTCTTCTATTGGGAGGCCTTGAGAACAAATGGGAAGGAATAGCCTTCTTTTTAGCCAAGAGGTTGGTCCTTCTCTAAGAATGAACTGATTTTATCTTATTAAAGTTTTCTTGTGTTGGTCTTCCCAGAGATGCTTGGTTTCTCCTTTATTGGTTTGTTGTTTTAATTTTTGTTTTTCCACTTGTAAATTTTGAGCTGTCTCAGAGGCTTTATTTTGGTGATTGATCCTGGTTAGTTGGTTTTTACTTACGTGCTGGATGTAATTTTTTTAGCGTATTGAAATGTATCTTGTTCTTCTCTACTCTTCTGAACCCCACCCCCATCAAATCTCAAAGCATACAAAAACACCCTAAACCTTTTGATTCTCTCAGAATCTGCCTAGGTGACTGGTCTCCCAATCTCTGCTAGGAAAAAAAAAAAAAAAAAGGTCTAAGTTGTTAAAGTTGTTAATGGATCATTGGTTTTGTGTTTTTCTCACCCTGTGATGACTCTTACCTTTTAAAAGAGGAATTCTGGTGATAAAATGACTTAATCCACCTTGGCACCATGGAAAGAACACTTCATGGTTTGTCTCTCTGGCTAAGGTCACATACTAGACATTAGATCAGTTGGAAATCCTCTGTGGGCTCCTGTCAGGTCATTTGGGAGATAGAGACAGTGCTGTATCTGGGTGAAGGCAGCCTGTGCCTGCCTGCCTGGCTTCTCACTGCTCATGGGGCCTGTCCACGCTGACAACTCCCTCCAGGGCCTGAGCTAATCTGGATCTGGAAAGGAGGTTGATGGCAGCCCAGCCTCCCCATCTGGTGGGACTCAGCATAAATCATGGTGGGAGTGATTCCTGGGCCACAGGACCCCCTGTTCCACTGTGTTGGCCCTGGCTGTGGGTCTGGGTGTCTGCCATGATTCTCTGCCTGGTAACCCTGCCTTTTACCCCAGTCTTCCTTTAAGCTTGGGAGTGTTTTTGTTCTTCTCTCCTCCGTTGGTTTGATTCCTGCTTTATGTATTCTTAGCCACACGAGAGCGAAGAACAGAGCCCTAGGAACACAGCTCAGTGTCTCCAGCATCAGCATTGGATGTCTCAACTCTTGAGCCTGTTAGAATGGCTGTCCTTAAGCTGACACTTGCTTCAATCTTCTGGACTTGACCTTGTCCTCCCCATAGACTCTGTGCACTGGACTCCCTGGTGGCTCGTACAGCAGCGGTGCTCAGGACTGGCTAGTCCGTTTCCCCTCTACCTGTGGGCTCCAGGGCTCTGCCTGCCCCTTGTGGCGCCAGCCTTGACTGACGACGCAGAACCACACCTGCCGCCCTCCTGAGATACACTCTAGCTCTGAGTTGCATCCTTGGGTGCAGCTGAAGTCACTGAGCTCTTAATGGCAGACATTTTAGATATTGTGATGGGTTTATGAGAGAGGTTTCTAGCTTGGGATTCTTTTCATAGTTTCCTCCAATCATACCATGTAATTGACCTTGCTCTGCATGGAAGTTCAGTGTTGATCTCAGTGTTTCTAGCTTGCGGTCTATCCACGTGCTTCCACTGTGGCTGAGTAGTGTTCGCCTAGTGGCTCCTGTGTGCTACAGCGAGAACAGTGCATCAGCATCCATATCTAGACCCTTCCCTCTGGGAAGCGGAGAGTCTGCAGAGAGCCCAGATTTCTGTGTGTACCCAGCCCGAT